CTCTTCTGGTGCAAACCCTCGCAGATCCCACGGGCAACCCCTTGACTTCTTATTCTGACGTCCATCTGAACTTTCAAAGACTGAAACGGCAACAGCACTGAAGAGATCAGTGAACTTTGTTATATGCAAAATTCTCTCTGTGCTGGGGAGAACTATGGGAATAGGGCGGTGATTGCACATCTTGTGGCTGCTGACTAACAGCGAGAACGGTATTAGATATAGTCTATCTAGCCTGATAAACAAAAACTGAATGCTGAGGAAGTTTTTCCCTTACTTGCAAAGTAATTAAAAAACCCAACAACACAGGAGTAAATACTTTTTTCGGGTATTTCATGTCAGACCTAAAGAATACCCGTTTGAGAAGGACTGGTAGCTAGTTATTTCTTCTCAAATTTCCTAGATTTTTACAAGGTGTCAAAGCCCTGAATATCCCAGAAAAACTACAAGAGACACAAAACAGTCCCCAGAAGAGTGGCTCAAGTGTCTCTCACCATGCCTGTCCTGTCCCTTGAAGCTCCTCAAGAGCAATGGTGCTGTAGCCGCAGTCGGTGCTGCCTCAATAATGACAGGCAAAGTATGGGGATCTGCTCCTTTCCAAAGGGGAAAAAAAAACAAACAAAAAAACACCCTAACTTTTCCTTCTGCCTTGTTAATGTGCAAATACAACACCACACTAAATATACACCGTGCATCCATCCAGTGGCACTACATCACAAGAAATTAATCCAGGTTTCCCTTGCTCACCAGAATTTGAAAACCCAAGAACCAGTCACAAGGATTTCACTGTTAAAACAGATACTTTTATGAAAATAGTAGGTCGTCTTTCTATGCATAGCTTCTCTGCGCTTACCAAGCAAAACCTGAAGCTTAATGAGGCTTTGCATGTAAGGCTAAAAGCTTGGATTACACAGCCTCTAAACTCTTCAGGTGAGAGTTATTTCAAGGGAGAAGCTTTACAGTCAAATATAGATCCAAGCGTATATAGCAACAATCCTGATAGTACACTACAAATATCACTGTGAAAAAAACCAAGCAGAAAGGACCAAATAATTTACAAAAGTTGCTGCCTCCCACTATAAGCTTGACTTTCAGATGAATCAGTTACAAGTATTCTACCGATACGGCTGACGTCAGCATCACAGTACATCCAAATCCCTCTGAGCAACAAATTCGTTCATAATGCAGAGTTTATAACCTGACAGCTCCTAAAATCCATTTCATTATGTTGCACACTTCTGGAGCTTATCTGCATTAATAAAAGAACCAGCGTGGTCAGGGCTGGAACATCACCTTCCTGCTGCATCTGCAGGGGCGGCTCCACAAACAGACCTACCTGAAAAAGCAAATACCGCCTTAGGCAAAAGTCACCCACATGTGTAAATCACCACACAAAATTCCCATCTCATCAACGGTTCACTTCAGGAGTATATAGACAGGAAAATAATTATATTTACCAGGTTGCTTCAGAAGAAACAGCACAAGGCTCAGCACACCACACAGCTTTCCCAAATACTCAATTGAAGGCTGCCCAAGCGCCAGCCAACCACAGCCCAACCCCACAAATCAAAGTAATGCTCCTCAAGGATTCAATCAATAATAAACAACCATAGCAAGAAACTCCACATGATTATGGTTTTGCTCTTTTATACATTCAATCCTGGAGCAAGATATTCATCCATCTGTGACAACGAAGAGCGCCTGAACTCCCTGCTCATATAGTTTGCCCACATTCAGCAACCATACTCCTCTCCAGCACTGCCATCCTTCTCCACAAACATCACCAGAAATCGAGGACTGAGAAGGGCAGATGAGGAACCAGAGAAGGCAGGGAAACCTTACTAAGGTGCTAAACACAGTCACGAACTATTCCATTTGTGACATGTTTCCAAGCCAACGCCTTCAACACCATCGATAGGAAACTCAAGTGGGGGCTAGTTGGCAGCACAGCAAAAACAAGGTAGATTTTTGCCAGGTTAGCTAACAGCTGAGACATTAATCTTACTCAAAAAGACTTGAACCCTTTGCTTAATAGGGGGGTCGCAGGGAAGGCAATGCTGAGGGCAAATCATTTTAGAAGGTAGACTTCTGATTACAACTCTCCAAAGCCAACTTCCAAACAATGTAGGAGGATGGATGTTTTTCCTACTCAAACACGCGCTAACTGAACGATACCGACACGGACCCGCCAAGTGCTACGTCCACAGGGCTTGCTTGGAAAAATTCTGTATCTTTTTGGTATTGCAAATAGTGCACTGGGACAACAAAAAAAACAGCTTGAAGGGAAAG